CCGACCCCGTCACGGCCACCGCGCCGTGGCCATCAAGGAGCTCATCGTGGTGTTCGGCGGTGGCAACGAGGGGATAGTGGATGAACTGCACGTGTACAACACGGGTGAGTGCAAAAAGCCCGCCGGGTCCTGGGATCTTTCCCTCCTTCCATCTATTCCCTTTCCCTCCTTTTCCCTCCCTTCATCTCCTCTCCTTCCCTCCATCCATCACTTCCTCAGCACTGTCTCCTTCCTTTTCCCACTCCTCTCTTCTCTCTCTTCCCCTTCTTTTTCTCCCCCTTCTCCCATTCCTCTCCTTCCACGCTGATCCTGCTTTCTTCCCTCCACAACCCTTTGCTCTGCCTCGTTTCTCTGCTCTTTCCCCCGTTCTTACACCCCCTGATTCCTGTGTTTGAGGGGTGCTTTCATTATTGAAGAGGAACCGTCTAGTCCGGCTGGTGCGGGGGCGTCGCCAGCGGTGGTGACTTCAGACATACACCGTTACCCGGGCGAGCGGGCTGGCGGATGCGTCCCTTTGGTGCAGGCTGATTTCCCACCCCCTCCTTCCCTCCCTCCTTCCTCCTGCGCCTGCTCAGCTATTCATCCCTAGTGCTCATTCGGGAGAGATGACAACTTCTAGATTACAGATGAGTTCTGTCTCGAGAAAAGGGGCATAATCCAGCAGCCTAATCCCGATTTGGGCGGGGGTGGCGGCTCGTGTGTTTGGTGGGTAACCTCCCTGAGATGGTGCAGGAGCCTTGGGGAACCACAGATCAGGCAGCATTGCCGCCTCCCGCTTGGCATTCACTTCTGCAATGTTTGTCTTCAAATTGCCGGTTTTCTTGATCCTCCGATGTAAGATGAATTCCAGTGATCCCGCAGCGGGCTCAGGTGGTCCCTTACCTGACTCTCCTCTTCCTAAGGTTGAAAGAGGTTACCTGCCTATGTTCATGCTTCCCCCAAACCCAAGGTCTAGTTTTATGGCGGGCGGGGGGTTGGGGGGACATGGAGGGGAGTGCGGGATTGGGTGGCCGAAAGAACACTGGACCGGGCTTCTCTCTTTGGGTATGCTGGCCTGTGGCTGGCTTTCAGCCTTTTGCCTGGTGTCCTTGCTGGGTCTCTAGGGCCTGGCTGCATCCTCCTGCAGCCCCCTCCCCACGGTGGCCACTTGGCCTGATTTGCACACCTATTGCCTCATTCTGAGTGGGCTGTTGAATGGCTGCTGGCCCGTAGCACCTCCCCTTGCTCGTAAGGAGGGGCTTGAGGCGTTGTCACTGGAACATTGGGCCTATGTCTGTTGTGTTCTGGGTGAGAGCCTGAGGGACCAAGGCTTGGATGGGCAGGGGAAAGCCCCCCTTTCCTACGTCAGACAATATCTTTTAGGGAGCTCCCCTCTGCAGCCGAAGGAAGATGGGTTCCGTTCAGACATGGCCAGGGCCATCTACCAGCTCTTTTCGTCTTGCTATCATATCTAGCAAAACTCCTTGTGCTCCAGATCCATCCTCCCCCCAGGCTCTAGAAGTATAGGGTCCTTGAGTTGGGGCACCCCCTCCAGCTTTGAGGTTGCCCTGGGGTGGAGAGCTGGCAGCCGGAGGGAGAAGTTGGAGTGGCAACGGTTAGAGCTGGGTTCTTGGTTGGGTGCTTCCCCCTCCCCCCTGCTCCCTCCCGCCCCCAGGCAGAGTGCAGTTTTCTCTGAACCTTGTAGGTTTTTGCCCCCAACTGACCAAGTTGACTTTCAAAGGCTGGTGGGTTGCAGTGACCCTTTGCATTCCGGGTCTCAGCACCTGTTGCCTCCAGCGAGGCCAGGCTGGTTGGTGGTGCTCCGTGCCAGCTCAGACAGCTGCTGGTGGCAGCAATTAGCCCAGTAAGGTAAGGCTGAGGGGCAGGGCTGTTTTTAGAGAGGCCGTTGCCCTGAGCAGAACCTCAGCTCCTTGGATCAACTTGATTCTCCCAAGGCCTGGAGCAGGCTCCTTGGCAGGGAAATACCATTTTAGAAAGTAGGGCAGGGGCCTAATTAGCATCAACTCAACTCCAAAGTCCACTTCTTCCTGGGGCCTCTGCATATTCGTTAGTTTATTATAATGAACTGGTGGCTTCGGCCTTGATTCATCCCCAGCCTGTAAGGATATGTTGGGTAGTCGGGCATAGCCAGCCCTTCAGAAGGGCTGCACCCCGATTCCTCCAGGGGAGCACTTTCCATACTGCCCTAGTCAACTCCTTAGGTGACTTCCCAGGAGAGCGACTAGCGACCCTACTCCTGAGTGTTTATGCTCTGACAGATACGGTCAAATAACATAACTCAAATAATGGTGCAGAGATCTCCGGCCTTTCCTGGAGCTGCAAGGTTCTTATGTCCTCTGGAAAGATGGGGCTTGGTGTTGCCCCCCCACCAATGTGGCCCAGATGCCCCTCATCCTTGGTTGCTGCTTCCACAGCTGCCCTCCTGCTTCCCTTTGTTGTTGTTTTAAAATACATTTTTATTAATTTCAGAGAGGGAGAGGGAGAGAGAAACATCAATGATGAGAATCATCGATCGGCTGCCTCCTGCACGCCCCACACTGGGCATTGAGCCCACAACCCAGGCATGTGCCCTGACAGGGAATCGAACCGTGACCTCCGGGTTCATAGGTCGACACTCAACCACTGAGCCACACCGGCCGGGCACCTTTCCTTTGTTTTAAATGAGGTCAGCATATTGTCCTGAGGTTTCTCTTGCACTTTTCCTTCTACTGGATGAGAGCTCAGAGACTCGCTGAGCTGCCAGCGTTCTCTGTTGCTAAGATAAAAGACTCCAGGGGGTGCATTCAGGAGGTGCTAGGCACTTTGCTGGTTTGGTTAGCTCAGCAAAGGGGGGGGGATGTGACAAGGGAATGAGGAGTGGCAGGTGTGTGAGAAAGTGTCTGTTCTTCCTCTTCGACAGTCACTACAGCAGCTGTGGGACACTTGACTGGCTTTTGGGAGGTCTTAGGGTAGCCGTCCTTGACCTCGGGGAATTTTATTTCAGCCCAGCAAAGCGGATTAATCAGAAGACCTGATGCTGACAGGGTGGGGTGGGACCTGGTGAGGGGAGGACATGGCCATTTGCCAAAGGAGCCACCCAAGGCTGGTTGGCCTCAATGGTTCTTTAAGGTCTGCCAACTGTTTCAACTGGAAGGAGCCTTGGAAAATATCTAATAAAACTTCCTTGTTTTTTCACATGAGGAAATTGGGGGCCAAGAAGGGAAGTGACAGGTCCAGGGTCACCCCACCAGCTGCTTGTGGAGTTTGGCAGGAGTACAGACCTTTACAGAGACCGTTAGACTGTCTCTTCCTTCACAGACGGAGACCACCACCTTGGAGATGCCTCCCAGTTCCTCTGTCCCAGTAGCTAATTAGTCGCTGAACCAAGCTTGTCTCAAATCTGTTCCCCCTCCATTCTGGGCCCTCTCCCCACATGGCTCTTGCAGTCACTTCCTGATTGGCCCTGTTAGTTTCATGTGTCGGGAAATCCCGTTCACCCTTCGAGGCCTAGCTCCAATGGTCCCCTCTTCTGAGAAGCCCCCACCCCCCACTCCCCCCCGCCAATCATCACCCCTGCAAACCTCTTTCTTGGCTGTTCTTCCTATGGTGGGAGGAGGACATGGCAGCTTCCCTACTAGATTGGGAGTCTGAGTCCGCGAGCTGTCTCCTCTGTGCCTCTCAGCACCCGGCACCGTGGCTGCCACACAGGAAGTGCCTCAGCGTGACAGCGAACAAAAAGGCAGCTGGTGCGGCTGGACCATCTACCCGCTGTGGGGGGTTGGATCTCTAGGTGGTGACGCGTAGAGGCTGTAGAGGCTGACGGGGCAGCAGCAACTGAAGACAGAGTTGGCACAACATGGAAAGGGGTGGGGGAACTGATAAAACACAGAAGCTGGGGTTTCAGGCTTGTTGAGGAGAGAGAAGGTGGAATCGTATTTCTGGCCATCCCATGAAGGGTCCCAGGTGTAGGCGGCCTCCCTTCCTCAAAGCCCCCTCCCAGCTGAGAGCAGGGACAAAACCAGAGCATATCAAGAACGGGAGACCCAAAGATTAGGTTGCACGACACTCCCCACTCGATGAGCTAGAGGTAATAGTATTAAGGGGTGACTACGAGCAGCTGTCATGTTTAAGAGACGGTTGCTTGTGCCACCTCAGGGGCCGAACTGGGGCTGGAGATGAAACGAAGAGAGGCAGTTCACAACTTCACACCTGACCACTGCCCTGCCTGGAGTGTTCTAGAACAAGATTGGGACTTCTTGGGCACCATAGAATGTGCTGGTCATTGTTAGCTCTTAGGGCATCCCAGGTTACTTCTAGTCTGGCAGGTGATCAGTGTGTTGGGGAAGCGGTGGGCTGATTTCCTTTGCCATATAGCTTTGTCCCAGCCCTGGTCCATGGCCCCATAGCCACAAGGGTGTTCAGGTGAGCAAAGGTGGCTGATGGCTCCCTGTTCATGGGGCCCTGAGGTGGGCATCTAGTGATCCCTTTAGGTGACGAGGTTCTTGTCTGTGTCTCTTTTGCTCTGTGACCTCAGGTAAGTTATTTCCCCTCCTGGGTTCTGTTCCTTTATCAATTAAGGGATGTTGGCTGAGATGATCTCAGTGATTTCTGTTAGCTTTTATCCCACTAACTTGGATGAGATCCCTTTCAGGGACCATTCATGCAGGGCGGTCTGCCTCGGCATGGGGAGCTGCTGTCTTTTCTTGGTGTGTATGTGCACGAGGAATGAGAGCAAGGCAGTGAGCCGGGACCTGGGTCTGGGCGCATGCGCATGGCAGGCAGTACAGCATTGCACCTCTGCTAGAAACATGGCAGAGGAGGGGAGAGGAGGATTGGTGCTAGGCATCCTAAAATCCCCGTGACTCAGCTAAACCACAGAGGGGGGACGGGCAGCCTCTTCCACACCAACCTGTAGAGTTGGGTGGTGGGGAGTGACCTGAAGGGCTGTAACTGTCTCAGGAGGTCCAGCTGTGCTTTTATTTATCATTTTATTTTTTCCCTGTCATTTTTATTTAGTTCAGTACATGGCAAAATATAAATACATAACAATATGTCCTTTCTTATCATGGGTAATAAAATCTGTAGCCAATATTTTACGTAACAAAAGAAAACTAAATCTGTAAGTTACCAGAAAAGGGACAAGGAATAGGAAAATAATACATTTTATATAAATTATAGAGGCCAGTTACAATGAAGATCTAGCACCTTTGTTTCTAACTCAGATTTTTTACAAAATAAAGTGAACTTGTAATACTTTGTGACCTGCCTGGAGGACATAAACACTGGCCCTTTCAAAAGACAGTGGTCAAAGACAAAATGTTATCTTGATGTCACAGCTTGTTCTTAGTTCTTAACTGGAGTTGATCTTTGATAGTCTTTTTTTTTTTAAATATATTGTTATTGAGCTTTCACAGAGGAAGGGAGAGAGATAGAAACATCAATGAGACAGAATTATTGATCGGCTGCTTCTTGTACGCCCCCCCACTGGGGATTGAGCCCACAACCTCCATGAACCGAACTGTGACCTCCAGATTCATAGATCAACGCTCAACCACTGAGCCATGCCGACTAGGCTCATAGTCTTCTTTAAGTGGTGGTAGTTTCGGCAAGATTTTTATCAGGAAATCCAGCTGTAGTGTCTAGGGCTATGGTTGCTCGGTCTGCGCCTGACAAAGGCAGTCTACACCAGTCAGATCCCAGTGGGTGCTACGTTTACATCCATATCCCAATCCCTTTGCTTGCTCATGTTGACCAAAACAGATTTAGGGACATGGAAGCAAACAGGGTTGAGACTGACCCCCAGTTTGAGGATTTACCTCCTGGCTCATAGGTCGATGCTCAACCACTGAGCCATGTTGGCCGGACTTTTTTCCCCATCACCACTTATCCCTTCTATGCCCTCTTCCACCTCTACCCATCTCCCTCTACCTACCCCCCCCCCCAATCACCACACTGTTGTCCATGTCCATGAGTTCTCTGCTGCCTGGCTTCACTGTCATCCTCTTCCTTGGTGGCCTCCTGAGCCTACCCCCAGCTAGAGGTGATGGGCTTTGGGGAAGCTTCTGCGGCCGGCAGAGACTGTTAGGTGCCACAGCTTATGCTACTGCTGCCACCTCTGGCTTTTGAAGGTGTTCTGGAGGGCTGTGGGCATGGCACGGCAGAAGGTGGATGTGGACCATTACCCAGGAGACGCCAGCAGAGATTGTTCTTGTGTGGCCTTGTGCCCCACCCCCACAGGCCACACTGCCTTGATTGGCTTCCCTTGGGTGCCCCGCACCTGCAAGGACCGGGGGGACACCAACCAATACCGGTTGCTCTTTCAGCCACTTAAAGGTGCAGTCATGGGCCCGCAGGAGGAGGAGCCTGGGGCCACCGAGAGAGTATTCTGGGTGTTAAAAGTTTCTTTCTGATGACCCACCGAGCGGTAGGGGAAGGAAGTCGGTGGCCACGTTCCCAGAAGCTGATGAATTATCTTGGTCAGTGACTTCCGGCTTATTAAGGCAAACTTGAGGTGAAGCAGGCTGCTTTGAGGTGGCCTCTGAAGTCAAGAGGCTTAGAAGATAGCTGAGGTAGAGGGCTGGCACTTGAATGCTGAAAGGAGAAAGTGCCATAGCCTTGGAAATAGAGGTGCTGTCTCAGCCCCTCCTTTCTTGGACCATATGCTATAGGCCGGTAGATTTGGGGAGTAAGAGGAGCGAGGACTCTGGTTCTGGGAGTTCCCGGCCATTCTGACATCTGCTTCCTTTTGTTCACCAGCAACCAACCAGTGGTTCATCCCAGCTGTGAGAGGGGACATCCCCCCTGGGTGTGCAGCCTATGGCTTTGTGTGTGACGGGACTCGCCTGCTGGTGTTTGGTGGAATGGTAGAGTATGGGAAGTACAGCAATGACCTCTACGAGCTCCAGGTAATGGCCCCTGATGTACTCCTTACAGTTGTGGCTGGGGGGTGGGGTGGGATGGGGCAGTAAAGCAAGAATGATGGGGGGAAGAGGGCTGGCAGCTCCTCCTGACATGACAAATAGCTTGGGCTCAGAAGGCGGGCTCATCCCCAACTCAATCACCGAGTCTTGATTTTGCAGGCAAGTCGGTGGGAGTGGAAGAGACTCAAAGCAAAGACACCCAAAAACGGGCCCCCTCCGTGTCCTCGGCTTGGGCACAGCTTCTCTCTTGTGGGCAACAAATGCTACCTGTTTGGGGGTTTGGCCAACGATAGCGAGGACCCCAAGAACAACATTCCGAGGTGAGGCTGTGTCCTCTTCATGTGGAATCCCACGTGCCAGCCAGCCCCACCATGCCAAGTCTGTCTCCTTTGTGCAAGGAGAGGGTGGCACTAGATGCCCTGTAAGGAGTTTTTGGGCACTGAGGTCTCCAGCCCAGAGGAGGAGGCACTGGGGAAGAAGGGCCTAGCCAGGAGGTAGACACCTCCCTAGCCTTGGGCTGGTTCCTACGGCTTGGAACAGCTTGCCATAGCTGACCTTTCTTCTCCAGGTACCTGAATGACTTATACATCCTGGAATTACGGCCAGGCTCCGGAGTGGTGGCCTGGGACATCCCCATCACTTATGGCGTCCTGCCCCCACCGCGGGAGTCGCACACTGCTGTGGTCTACACTGAGAAAGACAACAAGAAGTCCAAGCTGGTGATCTACGGAGGGATGAGCGGCTGCCGCCTGGGGGACCTCTGGACCCTAGATATAGGTAAGATGGGGTGTGGCCTCTCCAGTAGCCTCAGAGCAAAGCCGGTCTGCTATGCAGCCAGCGTGGGGTCCGCAGGGAGGAGGAGTGTCCTGCTTGGCTCCTTTTCATGGGAGGGTGAGGGCAGGCAGTACCCTGTTCGGGGTTATCGTATCTGCCCCGAGATTGTGGCATTTTTTCAGAAAGAACAAGGCTGAGTTGGTCTGCTTATAGGAGACCAACGGCAGGGGTCGGGGCCTTTCCAAAATGGAATTGTCTAGATTAGATAGCATTAGTCCCTGCTGATTCATCAGTGCTCAGCCTGTACCAGGAACAGTGCACATTGGTCTGTCCGAGTTAAGAGGGGTCTTGAGCCCGGGAGACCTCTGGGGGCTACTTAGGCTGGTAAGCAGGTGGGGTGTCTGGAGTGGTAGAAAGAAGTGTGGGTTTTTGACCTGAAGAAGGCTGAAGAGAGGAGGTGGCTGGCAACATAGCTTTGGAGGATAGATTTGATCAACGTGGGTGCCCAAAAGAAACAGTAGTGTGTTGTTGTTGTTTTTAATGTATTATTATTGGTTTCAGAGAGGAAGGGAGAGGGAGGAAGAGAGAAACATCAATGATAAGAGAGAATCACTGATCGGCTGCCTCCTGCATGCCCCACACTGGGGATCGCGCCCGCAACCCAGGCATGTGCTCTGACCAGGAATCAATCTGTGACCTCCTGGTTCATAGGTCGATGTGCAACAACTGAGCCACACCAGCCGGGCTAGAAACACTTTTTTCATTAGCGAAACTCCTAGCAGCACTCTGCTTCCCAACACTCAGTTTGTAGATAGTAGAGGTGGTGTGGGTATGAACATGTTCTTTGGAGAGTAGGGCGCCCAGTGGCATGTCTTATGCTCTCTACTCCTACCCTAACCTCAAGAGCAGTGCCTGCCCATAGCAGATCTTCCAAGAGATGCCAATTGCCAGGATGGGCTAACACAGCTTGAGAAATGCCAGAAGCTGATCCAAGGGCCTCCCATGGGCTATAGGGGGCCCAGGCATTGGATTCTTGGACCTGGGTTGGCACCCACTTTCCAGAGCCTTCCCCGAGGCCAGGGAACTTCCTCTGGGTCAAGGGCATATGTCTTACCTTGTGTTGGTAACCCTCCTTTCTCCGTTGCTCTGCAGAGACTCTGACATGGAATAAGCCCAGTCTCAGTGGAGTGGCACCTCTTCCTCGAAGTCTCCACTCGGCCACAACCATAGGCAACAAGTGAGTAGCTAGCCATTGCTTTTCCCTTCACACCAGCCCTCATACCTCGCCCCAAAAGGCTCGCAGTTTTGTCCAGCAATTCTGAAGAGGCCTCTTTCTGGCTGGGCTGGCATTCAGCAGCCCTTTGTTTTCATTACCACCCCACCCTGGAGGACCAAGAGAAGACACAGGGTAGAGGGGCACGCACTGTTCTAGATTCTCCACATATAAGCAGCTGAGTGCCTTTGTCCATACCGAGGTCCCAAAAGGAATGGAAGAATGATGGGGACCGAGATGAGCTGAGCAATGTTTCCTTGTAGTGGAGGTGACACAGTTCTTGGGAGGGCTGAGCCACCAAGCAGAAGACGGCCACATCAAGAGCTTCATGTGTCCTAGGGGGCTCTCCTGGGGAGAGCTAGGGGACCAAGTGTATATAGAACTTTCTGGATGGAAGAGGTGGCCTCTAGTTTGGCACCTCCTCTACAATCGTCTCCTACTCTTGCCTCCCTTGTTCCAGAATGTACGTGTTTGGTGGCTGGGTGCCTCTCGTCATGGATGACGTCAAAGTGGCCACACACGAGAAGGAGTGGAAGTGCACCAATACACTGGCTTGTCTCAACCTGGGTATGGCCTCTTGGGGCTCAGAGGGGCCTACGGAGGGCTGCAGGGAGCTGGCCGTTCTCGGCCCCGGCGCTGTGTGGGGTGTGCAGGGAGCAAAGCTAAGGCTCAGGCCTCTAGAATCCATGAGCAGTAGCCACTGGTCAGAGCGCTCGGTGGGACCCTGCCCTTCGAATTTGTTGAATAGGCTCTTCCTACACAAGGGTCCGACATACGGAAGTACAAAGCCTCAGGGTGCAGAGCTTCCCGTTCTGCTTCTCAGATGCAGACACTTTGGTAGGTTCTTACCCGCCCTGCAGGGACTCATCTGTATATCCCAGCATGCCTATAGGTTCCTCTAGAAACCAAACGGCAGCCTGCTCTACTCAGAGCTGTACCTGTCCTTCTCCATTCACTCCATCTCGGAGACCATCCCGTCCCCATGCACCAAGCGGCCTCATTCTTTTGAATTGCTATCCTGGGGTCGGGACTTGGACAGACGCCGCTCCGTGAGTATCCTTGCACTGTGTATTTAGAACTATCCACGTGCAAGTGTATTTGAAGGGTAAAAACTTCAGCATCCCTTTGCTGCCAAAGGGATGTTGCCAAGCTGCCCTGTACCCACATAGACACCTCTAGCAGTGCCTAGCAACCGTCAAACCATTTGCTCTTCACCAAGTCTGATAAGTGATTAAATCTCCCCCTGTGCCAGCCCCTGCCCCGGTTCACCTTGAGCCCCAGCTGCAGCAGGCACTGAAATCAAACTGCTGGGCACCTTAGGGGCTAAGTTTGCACCTCTCCCATGTTGAACGTTGTACTTCATTTTTCTTAGATCCGCTGCCTTTTCCATGACTTGCATTCTCTTCACCTGTCTCTTTCTACAGGCTCCTGTGTAGTTTGATGTGAAACCTTTGTGCGTTTCAAGTAGTTTTCTCAGTGTGTAGTTTGTGGCTTATCATTTTCTTCGTTAGGGTCTCTGCTGAGCGGAGTTGTTTTGGGGTGTGTTCTTTTCTAACTTAATAATCTTTGATCCCTTCTTGGCTTTAATTCCCCATCCCTGCCAGCAAAAGGCCAAAGGGCCAGTAGGGATGTGGGTTCCTTTGCCCCGTGCTGATTGCCGCCTCCCGCTCTCCCCAGATACCATGGCCTGGGAGACCATCCTGATGGACACACTGGAGGACAATATTCCCCGAGCCCGAGCTGGCCACTGTGCCGTGGCCATCAACACCCGCCTGTACATATGGAGTGGGCGTGATGGCTACCGAAAGGCCTGGAACAACCAGGTCTGCTGCAAGGACCTCTGGTACCTGGAAACAGGTAAGGCCAACGGGGAGAGGCAGCCCTAGGGCCTCTACGGTGGAGCTCAGCCTGAGGGCATAGCCTGCCATGCTCACTCCTGAAGCCTCTGCCTCCCCCTTCTCCCTGCCCTGGCTGTGCCCTCTTACAGAAAAACCACCGCCTCCAGCCCGGGTACAGCTGGTGCGCGCTAACACCAACTCCCTGGAGGTGAGCTGGGGGGCAGTGGCAACCGCCGACAGTTACCTTCTACAGCTCCAGAAATACGACATTCCTGCCACGGCTGCAACTGCCACCTCCCCCACACCCAATCCAGTCCCGTCCGTGCCTGCCAACCCCCCCAAGAGCCCTGCCCCCGCAGCAGCCGCACCTGCTGTGCAGCCGCTGACCCAAGTAGGCATCACACTCCTGCCCCAGGCCGCCGCCACACCCCCTACCACCACCACCATCCAGGTGTTGCCACCAGTGCCAGGAAGCTCAATTTCCGTGCCCGCTGCAACCAGGACACAAGGTGAGCTGGGCACCAAGCACTTGAGGGCTGGGACTGGCCACTGGGAGAGTGCGCTCCTGGGTAAGGGCTGCCAAGCAGTATGCCTGGCAGTCAGTGCAGGCTTGCAATTGAGTGGTGGGGTTGAGGGTTGGGGGGCAAACTCGGTCCCTCCTGTGGGGACTGTCTCTTTGAGGGTGTTTGGAAGGAGCAGACATGAAGCACTAGCAGTTCATGTCTAAATGCTAAAGGACCCAGCAGAGGAGCTGGGGGGCTCTGCTGATGGCCACCTCCTTCTGTCGTCAGGTGTTCCTGCTGTTCTCAAAGTGACTGGTCCTCAGGCTACAACGGGAACCCCCTTGGTCACCATGCGACCCGCTAGCCAAGCCGGGAAAGCCCCTGTCACTGTGACCTCCCTTCCTGCAGGCGTGCGAATGGTTGTGCCATCCCAGAGTGCTCAGGGGACGGTGAGGAGCCGATGTGAGACTGGGCTAGGTGGGGCGGGACTTCCCAGTGATTGACAGCACCCTGACTGGGTTAGAATCGCACCAGTTCCAGCACCATTCATCCTGGGCCTTTCTCACCTGTGAAGCACTGAAGAGGTTGCATTGCCAAGTTAATATTAATTACCAAGTTGATGCCTCAGAAGGACCTCCTGCCATCTAGGGCCTTTTGAATGTGGACTTTCTTGTTCTGAAACCTGAGGGAAGAGTCTAAGGGGAGGCGGGTTGGTTGACCCAGGCCCATAAAGAGGGGGCTGTCTCTGACTCTGGACTTAGGAGAAGATCCAGAGCTGCTGACAAACTCCTGCCTTGGGGTCACTGTGCCTGCTCGGTGGTAGGAGCCCAGATTTGCAAGGAGCCCTGGGCAGGAAGGAGGCTCCCTGGTGAAGTTTGGGGCAGAGAGCCTAGGTCCCAGCCCTCTGGTTCACACTTTCATGCCTACCACAGGTGATCGGCAGCAACCCACAGATGAGTGGCATGGCTGCGTTGGCCGCTGCAGCCGCTGCCACCCAGAAGATCCCTCCTTCCTCGGCGCCAACTGTGCTGAGTGTCCCAGCAGGCACCACCATCGTCAAGACCGTGGCCGTGACACCTGGTACTACCACCCTCCCGGCCACTGTCAAGGTGGCTTCCTCACCAGTCATGGTGAGCATCCCCTGGACCTGGTTTTGAACCAACAGCCTTAGAGCCGGAGACTTCTAGGCAATGATATGATCTGACAGTTGTCACTTCTCCAGGGCTTTAGACCAACCCACAGAGGCTGTTGGTCTGTAATTGGTGCATGCCATGGACCCTGGACTAAGCCTTCACTCTTAGGGTGTGAAGCCCTAGGCTAGACCTGTGGTTGTTTAGTCAACCACACAGAGCTCTTCAGTCTGGGGGGAGAGGGGAAGAGGAGTCGGGGGGTGAGCCTGAGCTACAGGCCTGCCAGGACATCCCACCCATCACCCGTCTTTCTCCTCCCCCGCCCCCAGGTGAGCAACCCAGCCACTCGGATGCTGAAGACTGCAGCTGCCCAGGTGGGGACATCCGTCTCCTCCGCTGCCAACACATCCACTCGCCCCATCATCACGGTGCACAAGTCCGGGACTGTGACTGTGGCCCAGCAAGCCCAGGTGGTCACCACAGTTGTGGGCGGGGTCACCAAGACCATCACCCTGGTGAAGAGCCCCATCTCTGTCCCAGGAGGCAGTGCTCTGGTGAGTGGCAGCCCGCTGCATGTGGCACTGCCCTGGGCCCATTCCAGGAGAGCCCCAGGCCAGGCAGTGCCCTTGATTGGTTTCCAGATAACTTTCTGCTCCCTCCTTTGCTGTTTAGATTTCCAATCTGGGCAAAGTGATGTCAGTGGTCCAGACTAAACCAGTTCAGACTTCCGCAGTTACAGGCCAGGCGTCTACGGGCCCAGTGACTCAGATCATCCAGGTGAGCGCGTGGGGCCAAGCCTCTGCGACTCCAGCAAGTAGAACTTGCGTCCCTGCCTAGAAAAGATCCCTTGAGTACGTGTTGCTCAGAAAGTTCTGCTCGGCCTGTCACCCACGGGCCAGAATAGTCCCAGAGCTGCTTGGGCCGCGGTGGAGAGTAGCCAAACCAGACTTTCCGTCCTGGCACTGACGTCGGTCCACCTTGGCCGCCTCCAACTGTTTTCCCTTGCAGACCAAAGGGCCCCTGCCAGCTGGGACCATCCTGAAGCTGGTGACCTCAGCAGATGGCAAGCCCACCACCATCATCACTACCACGCAGGCCAGTGGGGCTGGGAGTAAGCCCACCATCCTGGGCATCAGCAGCGTGTCGCCCAGCACCACCAAGCCTGGCACGACCACTATCATCAAGACCATCCCCATGTCAGCCATTATCACCCAGGCGGGCGCTACAGGTAGGGGTCTCCCCCAGCGCATGGGCAACGGACTTCCAGGAGGCTAATGCCAGATAGGCATAGAGGCCAGGCTCTGCCGTGCTCTTGGTTTCTGTTTGGTTTTTTTCCTCTTCTCCACCCTCTCCTTGCCTTTTGCTTAAGGTCTGTAGGGAGGTATCGGAGTGTGGCTTTAATTGGCACTTTATTGTTTTGGTGGTCTTTTTTGTTAATCCTCACCTGAGAACATTTTCCCATTGATTTTTAGAGAGTGGAAGGGAGAGGGAGAGAGAGACAGAGAGAAACATCAATATGAGAGAGACACATCAATTGATTGGTTGTTTCCCGCACCCCACCAGGCCTGGGGATTGAGCCTGCAACTGAGGTGCATGCCCCTGACCGGAATTGAACCCGGGACCCTTCAGTTCGCTCTAGCCACTGAGCTAGGGTGGCACTCCATCATTTTAAGTGAGGGGCATCAAGAGTAACTACTGGAAATGGGACGTGGGAGCTGGCACTGGTGGGGCCTCAGGAGCCCAGCCTGAAGCCCCTCTCCTATGTAGGTGTGACAAGCAGTCCTGGCATCAAGTCCCCCATCACCATTATCACCACCAAGGTTATGACTTCAGGAACTGGAACACCTGCGAAAATCATCACTGCTGTCCCCAAAATTGCCACTGGCCACGGGCAGCAAGGAGTGACCCAGGTGAGGTGTGCCTGGCCCTGTTCACTCCACTGTTCAGTCTAGGACCTGAGCAGGCCACATGTCCTGAGGGTCCTGGAAGGGGGCTGCATGGGATCCAGCCAACCTATGAGTGATATTGGGGTGGTTTCCCTGGCATTCTAGGTGGTGCTAAAGGGGGCCCCTGGACAGCCGGGCACCATTCTTCGCACCGTGCCCATGGGGGGCGTCCGCCTCGTCACCCCTGTCACTGTCTCTGCCGTCAAGCCGGCAGTCACCACACTGGTTGTGAAGGGCACCACAGGTGTGTAGCTGTTTTCCATATTCTTTCTGGGTCCACCTCCCTTCGGAGGCTTGGGGGAGGATGCAGGTGCCCTCTCTGGAGTCTTCTGTTCCTGGTGGGGGCACTCTAGAGTTCCCAGTGCCCCCAGCCCCGTCCAGGTTGAGAAGCTGCTGGAAAGGAAGTACTAGCAGCAGGCCTCATCTCCATCCTGCCTCCCTGCCTTTAGGCGTCACAACTTTAGGCACGATGACTGGCACCGTTTCCACCAGCCTCGCGGGAGCTGGGGGCCACAGTACCAGTGCCTCCCTGGCCACACCCATCACCACCTTGGGCACCATTGCCACCCTCTCAAGCCAAGTGATCAATCCCACTGCCATCACTGTGTCTGCTGCTCAGACCACGCTGACGGGGGCCGGAAGTCTTACCACACCCACCATCACGATGCAGGTAAGGGACGGGGTGCATGACAGCTGTGGGTGCCTGTCCGTGAGTGTTGGGGGACGCATGAGATCAGCCTGAGTGTGTCTAGTCTCCCATCTGTCTGCCTCTGTGTGCAGCAGGTTCTCTTTCTTCCTCATACATGTAGCACCCATGGGATGTGTTCCCTGTTGCCAAATAATTCTTAATTATTAGTAGTCTTTTATGTTGAGATGTATTTCAGTGGTTTGTAGTTTTGAACGCTAGGTTTTTCTTTCTTGTGATATTATAGACCAGGGTGGGCAAACTTTTTGACTCGAGGGCCACAGTGGGTTCTTAAACTGGACCGGAGGGCCGGGACAAAAGCATGGATGGAGTGTTTGTGTGAACTAATATAAATTCAAAGTAAACATCATTACATAAAAGAGATGGGATCATTTACCTTCACACACATATAGCATTTTCCTTGTCTTCATATGTTTTAAGCATAATTCCTGGACTTGGTAAAGCGTCTGTTGCTGGCATCTGTGGGGTGCAGGGTCAATGGGGTTCCTTCCCTAACCAGGGTTGGCCCCACCAGGGCCCTTGCTCGGCTGCCCCAAGCCCCTTCCCAGGCCCTGTGGCCCTTGAGGCGAAACAATGCCTCTTCCTTGGTCCCTGAGCAAGTCAGTGTCTTGGGATGAGAGGGTGAGCAGGAGCCGAGTCTATGGTCCCAGCTGGTGTGGGGGACAACTAGGACATTGGAAGGGGCAAGCAAATGGGAAGTTGGGACACTAACTCTTCCTGTCTGGTGTCTTTCTAGCCTGTCTCCCAGCCTACTCAGGTGACTCTGATCACGGCACCCAGCGGGGTTGAGGCGCAGCCTGTGCACGACCTCCCTGTGTCCATTCTGGCCTCGCCTACTACAGAGCAGCCCACAGCCACCGTCACCATTGCCGATTCTGGCCAGGGTGATGTGCAGCCTGGCACCGTGACGCTGGTGTGCTCCAACCCTCCCTGCGAGACCCACGAGACAGGCACCACCAACACCGCCACCACCACTGTTGTTGCTAACATGGGAGGGCACCCCCAGCCGACCCAAGTGCAGTTCGTCTGTGACAGGCCTGATGCAGCTGCTTCCCTCGTGACCTCGACCGTGGGGCAGCAGAACGGCAGCGTGGTTCGCGTCTGCTCCAACCCACCCTGTGAGACCCACGAGACGGGCACCACCAACACGGCCACCACTGCCACCTCCAACATGGCTGGGCAGCTTGGCTGCTCCAACCCGCCCTGCGAGACCCACGAGACGGGCACCACCAGCACCGCCACCACTGCCATGTCGAGCATCGGTGCCGGCCAGCAGCAAGGCACCCGGCACGCCTGCGTGGCCACCACCATTCCTGTGGTCCGGATCAGCGTGCCCACCGGGACACTGGAGGGAGCCCAGGGTTTCAAGTCTTCATGCCAAACTCGCCAGACCAGCGCGACGAGTACCACCATGACTGTGATGGCTACCGGGACCTCGCACTCAGACAGCCCGCTCCTTGCGCCAAGCCGGGCCCTGGAGGCTGCAGGCCATAGCCCTGCTTTTGTGCAGTTGGCCTCTACGACTAGCCAAGTCAGGCTGGGCCCCAGCAGCAAGGACAGCCCTGTCACTGACCTAGGTCAGTTGGTATCCATGGGGCACCAGCCAGAGGCACAGCACACCCACACAACCAACACCCCCACCACAGCCCGCTCCAGCATGGGTGCTGGGGAGTCTGGCGAGCTGCGGGGGATCCCCACGCCTGCATACGAGAGCTCATCTAGTGCCTCTGTGACTGTGACAGGCCTGGAGGCACTGCTGTGCTCCTCGGCCACCGTGACCCAGGTCTGCTCCAATCCACCATGTGAGACCCACGAGACGGGTACCACCAACACGGCCACTACCTCGAATGCAGGCAATGCCCAGCGGGTCTGCTCCAACCCACCATGCGAGACCCACGAGACAGGCACAACCCATACACCCACCACCGCCACCTCCGGTGGGGGTGCAGGCCAGCCCGAGGCGGGGCAGCAGCCTCCTGCCAGCCGCCCCTGTGAGACGCACCAGACCACTTCCACCGGCACCACCATGTCAGTCAGTGTAGGTGCCCTGCTCCCGGACAGCACCCCGCCCCTCAGGACCCTGGAGTCGGGGATGGAGGGGGCAGCACCGCCTACCAGTGCTTCCCAGGCCAGCACTTCGCTGCTGACCCCTTTCCCAACACAGAGGGTGTGCTCCAATCCCCCCTGTGAGACTCACGAGACAGGCACCACGCACACGGCCACCACTGTCACCTCCAACATGAGCTCAAACCAAGGTGAGTACAGCTGGCCAGTCTGGTGTCAGTGGTCTCCTGGAGCCCCAAGCTCGAAGAGTGAGGGCTGTGGTGTCTAAAAGATCTATCTAGCCAGAGCCCTAGATTCCGTGGGGCTCAGTTCACCTGGGGGCGGGCGGGAGGGGGGTCCTGGCAACTGTCCTTTAGTGGCAATGCTGGGTAGAGACCCGGGGGCTCCTGGCAACCAGCCTCATCCCTCGGCCCCTGCTGGCTGAGTCCCTGTCATCCAGCTCTGCCTGTCCCCTCAGATCCGCCACCAGCTGCCAGTGACCAAGGAGAGGTGGAGAGCACCCAGGGTGACAGTGTGAACATCACCAGCTCCAGTGCCATCACAACGACTGTGTCCTCCACGCTGACGCGGGCTGTGACCACCGTGACACAGTCCACGCCAGTCCCCGGCCCCTCTGTGCCGGTAAGAGCCCCTGGAAGGTCCCCTTTTGCCTCCCTGCAGCCCAATGCACCTGCGGCCTTGCTGTTCCAGAGCAGGACACTAGGTGTCACTCTTGTACTAGGCACAGTGTTGCTCTTGGTCCTTTCTCCAGATTATGAGTGGGCAACCTCCTGGCACAACAGGGCAAGAGGCAGCAGTCCCCCAGTGCCATGGCTTGCCGGTTCACTACAGCCTAGAGGAGCAAAAAGGGGGTGGGGCATCTGAGTGCCCCTTTCTGACTAGACTGGGAGGCTTCCTTGAGGACGGGTTAGCATTGGCCAGCAGGTCTCAAAGGTGTCGTCTCCCCTCGCCGAACTCCTGCTGCTCAGTGACCTGCCACTGCTGCCCATTTTAAAGGGGTTCTGCTGGTCCATCGTGAATGGGAATCCAGGCTCTAAAGAAAGGTGAAGGGTGCCTGGTTCTGGCCTCCCTCTCCTCCCCTCTGACAGGGGCTTCTCTCCCTTTCTAGAAGATCTCATCAGTGACTGAAACTGCCCCAGGGGCTCTGACCACCGAAGTCCCCATCCCGGCCACGATAACAGTGACCATAGCCAACACAGAAACTTCTGACATGCCCTTCTCTGCTGTTGACATCCTGCAGCCCCCAGAGGAGCTCCAGGCCTCCCCCGGGCCTCGCCAGCAGCTGCCGCCACAGCAACTCCTGCAGCCTGCCTCCACCCCCCTGATGGGGGAGTCCACCGAGGTCCTGTCAGCTTCACAGACCTCTGAGCTCCAGGCCGCTGTGGATCTGAGCAGTACAGGGGACCCCGCTTCGGGCCAGGAGTCTGCCAACTCCGCCATGGTGGCCACTGTGGTGGTCCAGCCACCTGCGCCCACCCAGTCGGAAGTAGACCAGTTGTCACTTCCCCAAGAGCTGATGGCTGAGGCCCAGGCAGGCACTACCACCCTCATGGTCACAGGGCTCACCCCTGAGGAGTTGGCGGTGACTGCTGCTGCCGAAGCAGCTGCCCAGGCTGCGGCCACAGAGGAAGCCCAGGCCCTGGCCATCCAGGCGGTGTTGCAGGCTGCGCAACAAGCTGTCATGGGTAGGTGCAGGGAGCAGAGAGCTCACCCCTCCATGTGAGGTCAAGTCCATATCAGTGCCCTGGAGGGAGGATGGGCCCCTTAGGAAGAGAGAGAACACAGGGTTCTGGAGCCTCCCTGAGGATGGGCAGCCAAGAGAAGAGGAGGCTTGCTTCCTGCCAGGGAGGAGCAAGGCAGACATAAAGGGGAGTACTGGGGCGGAGCTGCTGGGCTCGGCTGGGCACCCAGGAAGCAGGTAGGTTCTCTGCAGGACAGCAAGGTAGAGGTAGGCCAGGCTTTCAGGGCCTCTGTTGCTTGGGGATTGGGCTCAGGAGGTGACATTGGAAAGCCAGGGATGGGCTCCACCTAGCTGGCGTCCCTGTTGAGGAGTATTTCTCTCCGCTCTGGAGCAGGCACTGGGGAGGCCATGGACACGTCCGAGGGGCCAGGAGCTGTGACACAGGCAGAGCTGAGCCACCTGTCGGCTGAAGGCCAGGAGGGCCAGGCCACCACCATCCCCATTGTGCTGACGCAGCAAGAACTGGCCGCCCTGGTGCAGCAGCAGCAGCAGCTGCAAGAGGCCCAGGCCCAGCAGCAGCACCACCACCTGCCCACCGAGGCCCTGGCCCCTGCCGACAGCCTCAATGACCCAACCATCGAGGGCAACTGCCTCAGTGAGCTGGCTGGGGCCGTGCCCAGCACCGTGGCCCTACTGCCCTCCACAGCCACTGAGAGTGAGTAGAGCCCTGTTTGGCCACGTGTACTGTCCCCAGAGGTCTCCGTGGACTGGGGAGAGGTTTTGGGGGGTATCTGCACCCCCCAACGCACAGACTGGGAGGGTGGCCTGGTCCAAGGGAAGGTCCCCCATGTAGAAACTGAGT